AGGAAACTGGGTTTATTTGGTCCTCTACACCTTCCCAAGGACCTGGACCCAGGCCGTCCTGATGGCCACATTTGAATTATTAAAACTACTGAAAAACATTATTGTGAGCTATTATTGTGCAATAGCATTACTGAGTCCTTTTTTTTATAGACCTGGCTGCTGTTGTTACTGCTGCTACTTTTTTGGTGTGGGTGTAATAGTATTTTTGTAGGCCTATGCTGTATTTGTATGGGTTGGGGTAAAATGCTCCTACCAATACAGCACCCCCAACTTGAAAACCTAGTGTAAGCAGCGGTGGTGGGCGGGGCACTAGGCCTTTTCCAGATTTCTCAATGAGGAAGTAATCGTAGATGTGCTTCCTGCCCCAGTTTTTTTTTTCCACTTTTAATGTAGGAAAACCATGTTAAATATTAGTACACTTACATTTTTATACAGTTTAAAACATGTCTGGAGAGGAACTTTAAGCTTTTAGAGGTCTTCACAAAGGCAGTTGCTAATGTGTCCACAGAGGTTGATGGGGTTAAACGTCATCAAGCCGAACACGAAAACTCACTAGTCTTCCTTTACAGCCTCTTTGTGTTTATACTATCGCTCCTGCAAACTATTTCAAAAATTTTTAAGAGGAAAGGCTTTTGTAGTCAAATCAAACTACAAGTTGGAAGTTTAGTGGTGGTAACACAAGTCTTGTGACCATGTTGTAGTTTGTTTAAAACCTAACATTAGACTTCAAAGATCATAAAAGTGCTGTTCGTTTGTGAAGATCAGTATCAAAACGTTTGTTCATCACAGAGCTTATTTTCTGCAATAATCCAAAAGCCAATAAAAATTGGCTTTTTGTCGAGGGAACCAGGGCAATGCTAACTTCTGGGTTTGCCCATAAAGATATGTCATCCCTGCAGCACACTATAGCTGTGTCCCAATTCAGGGGCCACATCATTCAGAGGCTACATTTGAAAACTGATTGCATCACAGCGGCGCAAATAGGCTGTCCCATTTTGAAGCCTCCTTCAAATGCGACCTTCTCCAACAGGTGGATCCATCGTGGCCCAACCTATCCCATGATTTATTGCACGCTGTTGAAAATAATAAGGCAGCAAACAACACAACAGAGAGCCCGAGAATTACATTTTCAAATGTAAGTATTGGGTTTCAGCTCAGTTGAACAGCTAACGTTCCAACTGTTGAAAAACTAAGGGCCTTAAAACTAGTGATCGAAAGACTAATCGACCAATAAATAGGTCAGTCAAATGATTAATCGACCGACCAATTTATTTAGCCGATTAATGGCATTTTTTCATAATCGGCATTGGCAAATTAAAATGCTCATGAGGCCAATTGAACAAAAAATGTATGCAGACACCATTGACAGAGACTCTGTTCCCAGCGAGAGAGTATTCAGTGACATTGGGACCATTTATGAGGAGAAAGGGAACAGGCTCAGGGGGGAAAATCCTGAGAAATTTTGTTTCCTGCATTACAACTTGCAACTAATAAACTGGGACTACTGAGTAACTCAGGGACTGTAACTAAAGGCAAAGAGATGCTGCCACTCTGCACAATACTGATATTGTTTTTTTTGTTTGTTTTTTTATTTATGTAAGTTCAAAATTTTTGTTCTCTCTTGAGTACACTAAAAAAAATTTTCACTAAAAAAAGTTTTTTCTTTACAAGTAAACCTGTGGACATTTAAGTTAACAATTTTTAATTTAAAATAAGTGCACTGCAGACAGAATGCAGATCTATTTGCAGACACACAACAATCAGCAAATGTTACTTTCAGCAATTTTGTGACTTATTTGCCATTGTTATTAAATTTTTAAAATTTAAAATTTTTAAATTGTTATAAAATTTTTATCAGATTCAAAAAAAAAGAAGGAAAAAAAAGATTTATATATATATGTATATTATATATTTATATATTGGCCATCGGCTGCCCTGCTCTAAATATCAGCATTGGCATTGGCCATTAAAAAACCCATATCAGTCGATCATTACTTAAAACCTCAAGTTTTTGTGTTGTCAAGGTTGCCATCTTGGCAGTGTCTGATTCCGCCTACATCCCGGCTAATCCAGAAATGGGCAAAGAGGTGGGGCATGTGTGGAGCCAAGACTTTGGTGCATGCTGGTTTGTGGCAAGCATATGGTCACCCACCTGTCACTCAAAGCTGCACACACTCAATTATGCATAACTTTAAGCCATAATAAAAATTGAAGCAGGTGAGTTATATAATAATTTACACCCCGTACAGTTGTCATGAAGGAGGAAATTAGAGACCAAAACCGTTTTTTTGTACCAGGCTGTAAATGTGTTTATTTCTGCTGTTAAATTGGACTTTTTAACATGTTAGTCTATGTGGATTGACTTACTATCGGAGCCAGACTCTAGTGGCCATTTGAGGAACTGCAGTTTGTGGTACTTCCATGTTGGCTTCTTTTCTCAGCTGCTCGGTTTAGGCTGTGCTACCGCTGGTATTTAAACATCATTTTGTGATGTGATTCTGAACTAACAATTTGTTTAGATCAGGGAGCATTCACACCCACTTCTCTCACTCTCTCACTCATTTGTGTATTGTGCCTGGATTTCATCCAGAAATTCGTAATGTGAGCTCGACCACTGTAGTATCTGATTTTGAAGATTCAATAAATGTTTTTATTTTTTATTTATTTATTTCTAAATGTTTTAAATTTATAAAACACAGAATTATACCTGCAATCACTCTCAAACTAACTGACAGTTTTATGATGACGAATGTTTTATGATGCTGTAAGTGTTAACATCAGTAATGTTTGTAGACACAGTGCTAGAACAGGCTTGTATTTCCAATTATGATCAGATGAGAGAGAAAAAATCAAACTACAGTATGAGGCAAATTCTTATGTATTTGTGAATATTTGTAATTTATTGGTTTATTTGGTTCTGATTAGGTCTGATTAATGCCTGAGAAAAAGAGAGATTTTAATTATAAACCAATGAGTGATTTGCTCGTTCAAGAAAAATACAGACAATCTATTAAATTCTGAACTAAACACAAGAAGAAAAAGAACACATAACCAGCCTGAACAACTAAACTTGGTGGTTCAGGGTTTAGTGCTCCACTTCAGCCTCCACTCATGAAACTTTAATCAACTCTGGATGCTACGATGATTCAATTTGATAAATATTGGTGTTTTTTAAAGAACAATATATAAATAAAAAATGTTTTCTGTGCTGCAGCACAAATGCAGACTAAATATTCAAACCAAATTTTTTTGAAGACATAAAATTGTTGCTTTTGTCTGGAATTCAGATTGAATGGGGCTGGTTTAGTCACAGTTAAATTCATGCACCCGTATGTACACATATGACATATTTGCAGCAGGAGAATCATATGCAGGTCCCCTTAAAGAGGGTGAGCGAACAGTGATCAGAATCAGTCAGCTGCACTGTGGACCATGTGTGCATGCGTCCTCCTTCCCTCTCATTCAGCTGTTTTAAAACGACAACCCCCACCACCACCACCACCTTCCCAAATCCTGCTCCCGCTCCGAGTGCAGTCATTTCTAGTGCAGAGAAATGTCCCTGGTGACACTGAGGGATGACGCAGGCTCTCTCTTCCTTTCTCTGTTTCACTACCCCCCTACCCTCACCATCTTTTCCCTCTTTTGACTTGCTCTCCCCTTTTTTTTTTTTTTTTTTTGCTATGACGCTCCCCCTTTCTCCATTTCCTCTCCCTGTCTCACTCGCCCCTTCTGCTCTTGCTGTCTCCCTCCTCTCTCCCCTCCTTCTCACTCTCTCTCTCCCTCCCTCTCTCTCTCTCTCTCTCTCTCTCTCTCTCTCTGCTCCGGCACTGCAGTGCTGATTGTGATTGCACACACACTCGCGCACACACACACACACACCGACACTCACACAAGCACACACACACATCTCCCTGTCTCACTCGCCCCTTCTGCTCTTGCTGTCTCCCTCCTCTCTCCCCTCCTTCTCACTCTCTCTCTCCCTCCCTCTCTCTCTCTCTCTCTCTCTCTCTCTCTCTCTGCTCCGGCACTGCAGTGCTGATTGTGATTGCACACACACTCGCGCACACACACACACACACCGACACTCACACAAGCGCACACACACACACACACACACACACACACACACACACACAGGAGCGTAGCTGAGAGGCAAGGACTGCAGCAGCATGCACCAACCGCGGCTGAGCTGTTCGGGGACACGAGGACGGGGAACTGAGGAGAGAAAATAGTGTGCTATTTTCACACCAGCCTGTGTGTGCATCTTTTCAGCGGTGGGGACGATGCATTTCAAGAGAGGATAGCTTATGTTATCCGGCCTCCTCTGCACTGACTCTGCATCCCATTCACCCTGCTCCTCCCACTCCAACTCTTCCTCCTCCTCCTGTCGAAAGCATCGTTAGACAGGACTACAGATTGACCGGGACTGGAGAGTGGTGGATGGTCAGGTTTTGCCCTGGCTGAAAGATTCTTCTGTGGCTATGCTACATCTACATCTCCACTGATGGCTGGATTGTAATCGACATTCGGAGCTAGAAGATAACCCACAGCCCGCAAGGAATCTTGGATGAGTGTCATTCTTTACCAGTGTTGTCATTGGCGCATTTCCTCTATTTCGCTGGTTGCTTTTGCCTTCTCTGAGACTGGCTAGCAGGCACTGCAGCATCAGGACCGCAAGACCCATGAAGTGGTAGGGCATGAGGACCCAGGGGCGACCCAACGGAAGGGCTTGAGTGCTTCCATTGCTACCACTGCTGCTGAGGTGCTTATCTTGATTTTTTTTCTCCAGAAAAGGGTGTCTGGTGGGGGTTGGGGAGGGTGGTGACAGCACAGGTACCCAGGCCCCTGCAGAGCAGAGCGGGTGGCTCTTGCGTAGAGGAGGCAGGCAGGACGTCCTGTGGGAAAGGGGGGAAGAAGGGCTGGCTCGAGCGTTGGGCTCCTGATGGTGGCTATTTTTGTCTCCCCTAGCTGAGTGATTGGGACAGCGGGTGGAGGAGAAGATGCTTATGGCCCGAGACACGGCGCGGGATGAGGCTCAAAAGCTACACAGGAAGTGGCTGAAGCACCAGGCCTTTATGGCAGAACTGGCCCGCAATAAAGAATGGCTGGCCAAGATAGAACAGGTGAGTGGAGGGGACCAGGGCATGACGAGGGAGGGAGGGTTAGATGGGGAGGACAGATGGGCAGAGGAGGTGAGCTGAGGGGAATGTACCATGCCAAAGAGAGCACATGACCAAGACACAGTGTTGATGGTGGGTGTGGTGGCAGTGAAATGGAATAGGTGAAAGTGGGAGAGATGTCATCACTCAGTTTTCATTTCATCACTTTGCTTGGGGACATCCTGAATTACATTCTCAAGGTTATACTGTTATAGTGGCTGTGTTGTTCTCAGGTTCACAGGTGGTGTGATCCCTGTGGTTCCTTGGTCTTTTTGCACTGAGAGCAGACCATCTGAATTTCATTGCCTAGTTATGGAGGTTACGGTGAATCATGTAGAGGACACGTGAACCTTTGCAGCAGCGAAGGCCTGAACATACAGAGAAGCCACATTCCTCTCATTTCCCTTTATTTACAAAAGGCACCTGCTAGGAACACACAGCTGATATGAAGTCAGCTCACATCAGGAAAACATTCTCAGGTTTGCTTTATTGCCCCGCAATTCCCATCATGCTTTGCTCCCCTGACAGAGCAACGTCCCATCATCCACACAGAATGTTCTCCATGCCCTCTGCCTCAGTGAAGCTCAGGTGGGCTCTCGAGATGTAAATTAGTCAACGAGACTCCATTTCTGCTAATGGCACGTTGCGTTAAGTCACAAATGTATTGCTGCTGTTCAGAAAAAAAGGGATTTTCAGCTCAGTCACATGTCGAGCTGCTGAAGACGAGGACATGTACAGAATATGAGACCTCAGTGCATTTAGCATTTAGCTGAGTGAAGTTTGTATACCATCATTTCTGCTCACAATGTAAAAATGTGCAGTTTATCTGTTTTCCTTTGACACTTGCTGACTTTAGTTATGTACTGTAAATGTGTAATGATGTCAAATAATTGATTCAGATTTATTAGCTCTGGAGAGAAAAAAAAAACTATGATGTGGTTAAACCAGGAAGTGCTCTTTTGAATTCAGGCCCCCAAGCATCATAAGAACATTAGCAAAATGTCAGGCAGAAACCATTTGTGCAGCTAGAAGCCTTTTAATTTCTTCATTTTTATAAATATTTTAATTATTATTAATCATTACTCATTTTCTTTCAGGCAATTCACTGGAAAAAGGCTTCACCAGGGCAAATCTTATCAGTGCATTATCATTTATTGTGAAAAGTGTCTTCTGTTTTTAATCATTTGACACTTAGCTTTCTTACTTAATCTAATAACAACTGAGTGGCTCCTCTCAGTCCTGTATGAGTATCAAAAGCTGGGACTCAAATATATCAAGTGCATTGTAGATGCATTTTAAACAATGTCTGTGTCTGTAGTAGTTTGATTTCAGCATTGGTGACGTTTCTCCTTGACCTTGCTAAAATGTATTTACATCTCTGAGAACATCCTGAGAGGTTTTGTTGACATTTCCATGTGTTTTAATTATTAATTTTTATTGAATACATTAAGAAATTCATTAGACCGTATAGATTTTAACACATTATTTTTTGTTGTACACACAGTATTATTAACTATTTATAAGATGGCTATGTAACTAATTATCTGAAGACAAGACCTGTGACTGTATATTACCTAATGAGGAAATCTTCATGAGCCATCTTGGTCGTCCATGTGTGAAATGTGTTTTAAGGCTCATCATGCTATAGTCTAGACCCTCCCATTGAGCCAGCAGACACCCCGGTTTAGTTCAGTCACGATGCAAAAGAGCTAAAAGATGACTTCTGATACGACTGTGTTGCATACAAATCAATGCGTGCAGATAGGTTTTTTTCTTTTAGCAGATGACGTTTTTTTTTTTCAGTTTTTTTTCTGAGCTATAGACAGTTTTTCTCTCAATTCCCAGGTTTAGTCACTGAATCTGAGCTGCCATATTCATTTGTGTCCTCAACAGTGTGATGTCCTGTGGCTCAGTAGTGCAGCATATTATGTTTGTTCAGGTATTGCCAGTTGAACCGTGCATTACAGGCTTTTTTATTCATGGTGGAAACACCCGAGGTGTTATTTTTACAATGTGCAGAGACTCATATATGGGAAAGTTAATAATCAAATGTACTGTAGCAACAAAAGTCAAATGGAGCTGTAAAAGATTTAATATTGTCCAACAGATTCAGGTTTGGAGTCCATTATGAATGCATCATGGTTCTTCTTCTGATATTAGGGTTAGGGGTTATATAAATTCAAAATCCACCATACAAGATACTGGATGACAGGTATAGCTTAAACAGTACAAAAACAAACAAGCAAATGAGAGAATTTGCTGCTTCTCTTGCTGAATATCTTTTGGTCTGAAAAAAATCAAGCTATGTGAAGCTGCACCTTGACATTTAGGAAAAATTGTGATGGCCATTTATAACTGATATCTGACGTTTTATCGAGCAAGTGATTAATCAAATAAACTGGAAAATAATTGGCAGCTTAATCAATAATGAATATTGTTAGTGTCACTCTACTATATATATATAATGTGTATTATAGGTATAGTTTTTTAGGTTTGTAGATGTCCAATCCGAACACTGACTTCTCAACAAGCTTCATCCCGAATCATCAGCAAAGCTTTTTTATAAATGTTGTTGTTGTTTAGTTTGATGTTTGAGGAACTGTGAATGGAAGCGTCGTGATATTAGCTAAAATGATCATGCTCAACAGAAGGAAAGTGATGGTAGAGTTCAAGTGGAACAATGACATTTTTATATAAAGAATTTGAAGATCTGTTGTCAACCTCTGATCATATCCTGTTATTATTTTCTCTAACACTGAAATTACACACTGAAATTAATTTGCCTGTGTAGATAATCATTCAAGAGGAGCTGGACACATTTGTCTACTCAGCAGATGATTTTATGACCACGGTTTTCTGTGATACACACATGACTGGGCATATCTAAAAATCCTTTCACCATCATGAACATTTCTTTATGAAATTAAATTAGCAACTGCAATGATTTTACATTAATTACATTTGCCACAGTAGGTGCTACAGTAAAGGGAATATAGTGTTTTTCTGTTTTTGTTTTTTTACGAGATACAATGTGTTATTACCTTTGCATGATGTTCAGTGGTGACATAGAGACAAAGACCTGGCTGGACACATCTAAGTTCAGTGTAAGCCATGGTTCTTTAATTTGGTGTTTTGCCTGTATTGGATTGTTATTGCATCGTTTACAGCAGAGATACAGACAGGACGAATGGGAAAAGGGGGGAGGGTGCAACATGCAACAAAGCTCCTGGGCCAGAATCGAACCATTTACATTACATGCACCTAGTACAATTTGGCCACCGTGACACCTTGTAACACATAACCAGCTGCCTTTAACAGATGTAACCAGTGAAATTTCAATATTTACAATAAGTTTCCAGAATTTAAAGTAATACAGTTAATGTTCCGGTTCTGCCAGTCATGTGACTCCACTCAGAGAACTGTGGAGAGGCCCTCTACGTAGACTGACATCTCAGCTTGAAATGAAAACGGACTGAAACAGGATCCTGCTTTACTTCTGAATCATCAGCGCATTTGTGTAACCTTTCCTGCCAAATACCAGAGAAATAAGCTGAAAGGATTGACACTGAGTGCAGAAGATGGCTGCTCCGTAGAGGTTAGGGTTCTCTCCTGTGCTGTCTGGCATGATTTCCTAAAGTTCCTGTGCCCCATACACACTCACAGAGACCCTCGTGTCTTCATAGCCCTGTTACCAGTATTTAATCTACCCCCACACTTCTCTCTGTCGTTACCTGAGAGACAGAGAGAAGAGATGACGCTGCGTCCTGATCGGAGAACTCTGCGTCCTTTTGGAAGGGTTCCCGCGTCGGCCCCTTACCTCTGTTCTCTCTCAGTACTTACTCAGCACATGAAGCCAGGCGCGCAGCTCCAGGCCGGCTGGTGTACGTGGAGGATCTGTGGGTGCCTCTCACAGCTGACCTTGTGCCAGGGCTCACCGTGGGCTCAGGGGTCAAAGCTTCATAAACACACAGATAAACCATGGGCCTGTCTAACTGGAGCACATAGATCAGTGACAAACTAAAGGTCCCACACCACATACATATTTAAATATAGGAACTGGTCATCAGTTGTTCACCTCTGTCTTGCTAGGGGCTGGACCGAATACATTTTACAGTCATCTGGGATCAATATGTATTTCTATTTTTCTATTTCTATTTAGTTTCTCTCTTACTCTTTATCTTCATCTCCTCCTTTGTATGTGTTTGGTAGGACTTTAGTAAAGGAAATCAACAGGGATGATGGCTTCACTTCAACACACGTTCAGCACATTTGTCACTGTATGTTTGGTTGACATTATTCTACATTCTTCTAACTGTCATTAAATTCCATGATCAAACAATTAAAGCCCAATAGACCAAAACTAAGACTGTGTTAGTTCACCTCTTACTGGACCTTTTCCTCTGACGACATGTTGACAGGTCACAGAGGGAAAAGGACAGATGTAAAGGATTAAATAATGGAGTTCAGTTTAGCTGCATCAGTTTCAGGAATCAGGTGTTGTTCATGCTATCGCACTGTCACACTGTCATGGTTTTACTGGGACACCCGAACAGAACAGAGCCAGAGATCATGTTATCAGTGACACCTATGCTTTTCCTACTATGACAAATGTCTGCTGTGAAAAAGGCCTGCACTTTCTGGCATCCCTACCCTGTCTGCAGCTCCAAAGCCAATCTCTAACATAGATAGCAGATGTAGTACAGTATGCTTTACATTTTTAAGTCCTAAGGAGTAATTTCATAAAATATCTGGGCACTGCAGTTTTTAACGAGTGTTACTCAGACAGGTGGAAATAGTTAATATGCATTTGTTGGGGATTATTTTCTGTGGTGGATTAACACATTTGGTGCTCTGGTGAGTAGTTTAGCAGGATGGTGTATATGAGGCTGCTGTGTTCACATTAATCAAAGACTATGTCATCCAATGCAACGGTGGGGCTTTTTTATTATCAATTGTTCTAATAAATATGCCTTCCTTTTTCCACCATATGTTTTTAAGAGCAGATAAAATCAGAAAGTAGAAAAAAAACAAAAAAAACAACAATCCGCTCTCTCCCGTTTCCCTCACTTTCTTCCTACCTTCGACACTAAATGATGTATATTTAAAAAGGTATGGTCAACAACATTAACATATACTTAATACATAATAGTGCCATTTAGTTATATATCTGGTAAGGTATACCATTACATTTACATTCAAGCATGGCCCAGTACTTAATTCCAAAGGAGATTCCCAACATCACCACATCTTAAATAAGAGTAAACATGTTCCAGATTTTTAGATTTACATCAAAGTGTGTGTTGTTTTTTTTTTAGACAGTGTGACTCTTTGGTGTGTTTTTAATTGTTTGTGGAGGTCAAATTAAGTCTTGCATTCAGACTACAGTAACTCATGTATCTATAGCACCTCTCTGCTTGCTTTTTTTTTCTTACAGTTTTTATAAGTTCACATTGTCATCATTACTTGTTTTGTGTTGTTGTTTGTAATTGTATGTGGTGAAGCAAAACACAGTTTCTCACAGTGTTGACAATAGTTCCTACCAGAAGAATGACCTACTGTATGTCAGGCTCCATGAGATTAGTTTAGGTTATAGTAAGAAAACTACAGAATATTTCCTGTCTTATCATTTAACACATTAAGTAGAGAAGTCACTAAAACGTTTTTCATCTATTTTCCTCTCATCTCTCATGAAAGTAATGTTTATGTCACACATTTCATATTGTAGAAATTCCAACACCCAACAAGACTTATAACACAGAGCAGGTGCAGTTTAAGAAGAGTGTTTACTGTAGCTGTATGTAAGAAGGAACTTTTGACTGATCTGCTATTTTCATTTTGCACCATCCAATATGCAACATCAAGATTTTAGGAAGTTCCTACAAATTAAGTAAGAATAAACATGTGATACATATGCAGGATAGTTTGGATGTTTTAATCTTTGCATTATACAGTTCACATTAAAATAATTACATTATTATATCCTGTAATTTACTTGTTACTAATACATGGAGTAGCAGTGCTGATATATGATTGCCAAAGGCTCATGCTTAGTTCTCTGAACATTTAACTTAAACTAAATCGAACCTACAGCAATGCCTCACACTCAACACAGCTATAATATCACACTCCCATGTTATTAAATCTGTTAGTTCTAGTATAAGGGTAGCTAATAAGCTAATGCTTAGCATGCTCTGACTGAATGAGTACTACATGCTCATATGTCAACTTGTCTAAAAGCCAACATTGCCATCAAATTAGCATCATTAATTAGGTCGCATCTACTATAGTGCTATCTTGGCATTATGCTGTGTTACTGTATCTTAAGCTTTTAACTCTTAGCTCCTCAGTGTCCATGTGGCTACTGGTGTGAGATTTGGGGAAACCAAACGATGACCTGGTTGGATGGTTTTCTAAAATACCTGTGCATTAGTCATCCCAGTAACTTGCATCATGATGCAGCAAACATGATGAATGAAGTGAAGGGGAAAAAAAGCTTACTGCACATGTTTTGATTGTAACATCTGTATATGCAGCACTATTATAGTCGTGCTCTATCTGTGAAATCTCATCTTCAGTTGTTCTGCATTTTAACTATCAAAACCATTCACATGCTTCCGCTATCAAACAGCATTGTGCAAACATTATACAGATTGCAATGTATTTACAATGAACTAGAAATGATCATAGCTGCAGCTGCAGGTAGCATCTTCTCTTTTTTGACTTGCTGACTCCAAACACACTCTAGTGTGTAAATACACTTGGTGTTACATTGGGATTTGATAAATCACTTTGATATTTAGCATTCCTATTAATTGTTTTAGTAAACACTACATTGTTATGATGCTCTTGAAACATCTTGTATCTCAAAAATCCTCTCAGGAATTAATTAAACTGGTTTAACTATAAATGTTTAACATCCTACAGTGACTGTCCGTGGTTTAGCTTGTCTTGTCTTAGTATCTTTGTTACTTGAGTGTATTTGCTGGTACAGTTTTTATTAAAGTTTCTCACATCTTTAACACAGTATAGATGAACTTACCCCTCCCCCCTGCTGTTTCCACTTCCACAGTTTCTCTCTCTCTATGAAAACCTACATCATCTGAATCACTACAACACCTTACTGTTTTTCATCTTACATGTAAATGATTTTAGTTACTTTATTAACTTAGTGTGTCTATTTTTTTTCATTAGTGTTGCCTTCACTCTCCTGACCTTTTTCTTTTGAATTTCCATCCTCACCCACGTGTCTGTATTTGTTGTCTGTTAAACTTTTTTTATTTTTTAAATAAAATGCTTTACTCTAAATCAAAATACTCTGATTAGAACTGTTCTTATAGCCTCACCCATGATGTAAAACAGATAAGAGTTAGGGCCATAAAAATATATTTTAAATAGATGACAAATAACAGTATATAATGTTACAATATCCAAACAATTGCTTTAATGGACAATACATTTCTGTCTGACGGCAATGGCAGCCTACTTTCAGAAAGGAAACATGCCACCAAGCATTGCATGCTATCCATGCTGTACTGGTCAGAAAATGGATTTTTAAAATCACAGTAGAAAAATTAAATTGAATGGCCGAAGCCTCCTCAGAAAAAAACTACACGTTTATGGCATTGTCTCATAAAGTGATAATGTTCAACCTATTTAGCATATGCTTTGTAATCATGGAATCCATTTATTCACATACTAATACAAAGCACATTGTTACGAGAATAAACTTCAGTTAGTAAAGCTCCAGAGTGCTTCGAGTACATAACAGCTGAAAGGTGTTTATATCAAGAGAGAAAAGTCCAGAACTGTAAATAGAGAAAGCTGGTAGCAAATGTTGATGTTACTGTAATAGATGGTAATGTTAGTGTTGCATTGTGGGTTGGGCTGATTAGCCAAAGTTGAATGTGAATGTCTGCTCAGCGTTCAGGTGTTTCCTGTGTTTTGTGGATTCACCTTTGGAAAGGTGTTATACAGATGAGTTTGACAGTGTTACTTTTATGCAAACAGTAGACCTGAATACACTGTTGTTTGTGCCAGTAGTATAAAACAAGCTCTTTAATACCACCCACTATTTCACTATGCTGCATCAGCATTAAAAGAAAGCCTGCAGAATTTGGCAAGACAAAACAGCCATAATAGCATGATTCATATGTGGTAGCCATTAAAATATCACACTATGTCAGCCATGACTGCCTCGAAAATTTACTTCACAGATGCCCTTTGGATCCAACTGTGCCCAGGGTGTAGCACGGCCCAGCACACCCGCAGCCTCGTTCCTGTTCCACAAACCTTTGATTCCTCCTCCTTTTGCTTCCCTTCTTCCTTTACTCTGCCTTTCTCCGCTCTCTCTCTCCTCTCTCCACCCCCTCTCTGATTCCTTCTCCCTCTGCTTCACTCTGTGTGTCAGTAAAGCCAAGAGAGAGCAGAGAGAGAGACCTGCTTTCTGCTGGCTCTGCATTATGAGAGGGAGAGCGAGGCTGAGGCAAGTTGGGAGCGAAAGAGAGAGAGAGAGAGAGAGAGAGGGGGATGTGAGAGAGTGAGCACTAGCAGCAGTTAAGCAGTGAGCCTGTGCCAAGAGGAGGAATGCAGCACTGCATTATGAAAGCCATAGGATATAGGTCCAGCTCTCTGTGAAAGATAAAGGAGAGAAGCAGGATTTAGAAGATAAAATACATAATGTGCACAGTTGTTATTACAACACAAGCTAAGTAAATAATGAATTCATCACCCACTATCATAAATATCAGAGGAACGTAAAAAGAACAGCACATAAATGCTTTTTTCTTAAAACATGAAAAAAAAAAAAAACTGCAACATTATCAGAGGCTTTTAAGTCTCGACGCTATAAATGAGCTTTTGTGGGCCAGATGCAAAAATATCCAAAATCCTGTGAGGAAAGGAAAACACCTCTTACTCTCCTAAGTCTAGGCTTGGGAGGAGACCGGTAATAATCTATTTCAGGGAAGAGCTTCATTGACACAAAAAATGCCACCAGCTTTGATCTCGCCGCATCTCCTCATCCAAATCACGTCATGAACAAAGCCCAAGATTTAGGGGAGGGAAGAGGAGCAGAGGAGCACAGGCAGAGGACAGAGCGGGGGTTTATTAGACTTACCATGCATGATTTGTGGGTCAGCCCGGGGCCAAACTTTGCTCCATACACCTGCCTCTCTGCAAGCAGGGGGCTCCGAGCCTTGGCATGGAGCTGTGTTGTCCCGAGCTATTTTGGGGACAAAAGTGAATTTAGCCACTCACTTTTTTAGCACATTTGAAATAATGGAATAAATAGAAATGCAGATCCACAGGTTCATGGTAAAGAATGATGAGCATGATGTATTTAGGTAGTTTAGTCCATATACTGCCCGATCTTTCTACAAATGCCAAATCCTTTAGATAAAGACAAGTGATACAAGGTTACTGTTTATCTCAAAATTATTGTCATGGACATGAAAATGGATAAATCTCATTTTAGAAATAAAATAAAATCCAATCTAATTTGTGCTTCAAGTCTAACGTGGTGGACTGTTCTGTGCTGTGGCTGTGCAGTTCACAGATTTCTGAGGCAACAATTATCTCAGCCCATAAGAACCATCCCTCGAAGCAAGAGCTGGCATTAAAGGAGTGTACAAGTGAAAACTCAGCCAGGAAATGACAGACCAACACTCAGTTTTTAAATAGGATAGGTTTCACTGACTTACAGTAAACTGATGTGATGATTTTGATCTTGAACTGTGATATTCACTAGTTAGTTTAACAATTATAACCTTCTATGTCCAGGAGGGTCAGGAGCTGATCCAGGAGAAGCCGGAGCTACGTTCAGTCGTTCAGCAGAAGCTGGAGGAGATCCGAGAATGCTGGTCCGACCTGGAGAACACGACCAAGGCCAAGGCCCGCCAGCTCTTTGAAAACAACAAGCCCGAGCCGGCGGTGAAGAGCTACTCGGACCTCGACAACCAGCTCTCCCACCTGGAGCAGCAACCCCCTCAGCTGGAGCAGGCGCACCATCTGCCCACCTTCAATGAGCAGCTCCAGAAATTCCAGGCAAGTCTCAAGGATCCCCAGGTTCACTCTGAGAAGGTTGTGCATATGTAAAATCTTTATTTAGAGCTGATCTGAGGCCAGAAATGACTCAGTTGTTTGAGTTACAACAACCAATCGGTCTTCGTCTGAACTCTGACCAATGTGCCTTGTCTAACACATTGTCCTTCTTCATACTGCACTGTTTAACTGCATGCTTAAACTCATGTCTACAAAGTTTTATCCTGCAGTTTGCCTTAAACTGGTATTTATACACATTTGACATTTTTATACAGTGGGGAAACTGGACTGCCCACCTACACACCAGGAAAATTCCCACTTTAGCATGGTGATAATGTGAATCCATATACTGAGAAATTTCTACGTTTGAAATGTTACCCATTATGTTTATTTTTCTAATTGTTATTTCTACTCTCAGTCTAATCATTATTCTTTATTGCACTCTAATCTCTCAGAGTTTCGCTGTATGAACATGTGACAAATAGCACCTTTAAACCTTGAATGTTGAACCTCAGTGGGAAAAGGTTTTTGGAGCAATCATGAATGGCAAAGAAAAAGTTTAAATATAAGTTATAATAATAATAATAATAAATAGCATAGCTAGTATTTCTAGCCACTATTATATTTTTCACTGGGCTTCATCAGGTAGAATGAGATCTTTTATTTAAGTAACAGAAAGTAACAGAAATATTCCATTACCAATGAAGAATTAACAGTTATAAACTCAAAAATTTAATTTAAATACATGCATTTTAGCAGCAACATGTTCCTAAAGTATCGAAAACAAAAGTAATCATAATGCAAAATGGCTTCATTCAAAGCATTAAATACATCATATATACAGTATATTACTGGAACATTATTACTGATGCATTAACATGTAAGCAGTATTTTATTGCTGTCAAAGTGGAGCTAGATTTATCATCTATATACTGTTGGGTAGTCTATCTATCTATAACAGCCTTATAATTTATACATTTATCATATTATTTTTTCACAAAAGTGTAGTGGAGTAGTAGTGGAAAAAAAAGTACAATATTCCCTCTGAAATGCTGTGTAAAGCATATAAATATGAAGTAGCATAAATACCCAAGGAAAGAGCAAGTACTTCAAAACTGTATTTGAGTGCTGTGCTTGCATGAATTGGGTTGTGTTACATTTCAGAATTGGGCTTCAGTTTTGCCTAAATTAAATAAACAACTTGACTCCGCCCTCTGACATTTAACTCAACCAACAAGATTATTTCTCCGTCCACAGCATGAGAAATAAATGTTTGTAGAACTGCAAATCTCTGATCAGCCCTGATGTATCTAATGTTTTTGACAGACTGTATAGTTCAGCTTATTGTAGTTTATGTAATTTTCCCCAGCTCTGACATGTGTCCATGAAGGCTGCTGCTGTGGCATGTTCTTAAACACAAGGTTCAGTGGCATTAAAAAATGCACCATATGCTTTTTCTTCCTTAAAGTGAGGCAGCCCATTACATAACCCCTGAAATGTTCTGATAGGAAAAAGCTGATGTGCCGAGCTGTGTTTGTCCATGCCTGTAACATGACCTTCCTCTTCCCTCCGTGCAGGCTATGGAGTCTCAGATAGGGGACTTTTACAAGGATGTGGGAGAGCTGGGAAGCTTGCAGGGGGTCTGCCTACCCCAGCGAGGGCTGATGGCAGGTGACAGGGAAGGCGGCGAGCAGTCAGGCATGGTGGAGACGCGCATCGTCCGCCTCATTGAGCCCCTGAAGGAGAGACGCCGCATCCTGCTGGCTTCCAAAGAGATGCACCAAGTCGCCCAGGACCTGGAGGATGAGATAGTGAGTGGCACACTTCTTTCCTCTGAGTTCCCTGTTCTTTCATTTCATATATTTCCTCCTCCATTTACAAAAGCTCCCTCTTGCACGTCAGTTAGAGTCACTATATTAAGTTATATCATATTATGCCGCATGTATTTTAGGAATCAGAAATTAGAAGAATGAATGATGTGTGTCTTCCTCATGGCTTCAATGTTTTGCTCCTGTACATCAGCAGTGTGAAAGATGTAATGACCTGACTTTGGTTACTTGATAGCTGTGGATTCAGGAGAGGCTTCCTGTGGCCTCCTGTAAGGATTATGGGAATAACCTCCAGAGTGTTCAGCAGCATGTAAAAAAGAACCAGGTAAGTGTCAAAAATGACGTTTGGTCATGGTCAGCCGAAACGTGGCCTGACATCTAAGTCTGAGAACTTACCTCTGATTGGTCCTCCAGACTCTCCAGAGGGAGCTGACAGGGCGACGGGCTCGTGTCGAGGAGGTTCTGGACCGGGCGGGGATTATCGCTTCGCTGAGGACTCCTGAGGTGGAGTTTGTACGTGAAGGGGCGGGGCATGTGCGCCAGCTGTGGGAGGTTTTGCAGCTGGAGACGGAGAGGAGGTCTGTGATGCTGGACGCTGCCCTGCAGTCTCAGCAGTACTACAGTGAGGCAGCTAAGGTGGAATCCTGGCTGTCGGGTCAAAAGCTGCATCTTGTCAGTGAAGAGAAAGGCACGGTACGGTACAGACAGATACTCATACATGTCTCTGATGGAGTAAAACCTAAGTGAACATATGACACTGACATCCTGATGGTATTCTGATGTTTTTCAGGATGAGTCAAGCACACTGCAGCTGCTGAAGGCCCACCTGGCTCTGGAGCAAACGGTGGAAACATATGCAGAGACGGTCGGCATGTTATCCCAGCAGTGCCAGCGTCTACTGGAACTGGGACACCCGGAAAGGTGCACTCACAAAGCAGCACACATAGCCCAAGAAATGTTTGATTTCTACTTTTTCTATCCACTGTGTAAAATAGTAGAAGAATACCATTGTCATCAATTATCTTGTTGCTGTAACATTTTCAACAGCGAGCAGATCACCAAGCAGCAGTCCCACATAGATCGGCTGTACGTGTCTCTGAAGGACATGGTGGAGCACAGGAAGACCAAGCTGGAGCAGCAGTACTGGCTCTATCAGCTCAACAAGGAGGTGGAGGAGTTAGAGAAGTGGATCACTGAGCGTGAGGTGGTGGCCAGCTCCACCGACCTGGGCCAAGACCTGGAGGATGTCACGGTCAGTACATCAACGCGGTTTTAGCTGCTACACCGCTCTGACCACAGGACAGAGATATTAAACTGAAGAGTAATTCATGAGTGAACACCATGAACCATGATGATATGGCTATAATAATATGACATTTTTCAGGAGAGCCACCAAATGCAATAGCATTTTTGATTTTATAATTGTATTGACATGAAAAGCAACATGAAGCAGGAGGAGTTGGACTCACACTGAATAATGAGAGGAGGACATTTTTTTCTGTGAGCTGAAGCAGAATTTGATGACCAGTCATGGTAGTACTTTACCTGATCTACAGGAGAGGCAACCAGACAAAGGCTTGGGGCTCCCAAGGGAAAATGGGGCCCCTGGTGCCACTCATATTGGCACATTTTGCAACAACTATAAACCCCCTCAAACCTCCCATAAAGATACTATACAGTGCATTGCTGTAGCCCCCAACCCCTCCTAAGAGGGGAGGGGCCCCTGATGATGTGTGCTGTAGTTAGCATCTACCCATTGCCTGTGGGTGAGGCATTTATGGGACATCTGTAAAGTGTAGCGTCTATCGATAGTCTGCACCTTGGATGGGCTTCAATGGGCTTCTTTGCCTGGGCCCCCAGAGCCTAGGACCGCCACTGCTAATCTACCATATTGTATTTATGCAATAATGCCTTGCTCAAACTCCTCATCTCATGTGATGGAACATCCCAGATGATGGCGGACCATGGTTGTTTTCCAGGTCATGGGTTTGAGGACAGAGAAGCAAAGATAGGAGGAAATATAGTTACTGTAGTGGAAAGCACCCATTGTCTGAAATAATAGTTAATATTATGAGCTTTACAAAAGTAGCATTTACTGCAGGTAAATACTGTTGTATCAGAATGAATTAGTTCATGTTATTGTGTCCAGTCCCTGTAGTGTTGTGTAGTTTATGTGTTTCAGGTGCTTGAGGAGAGGTTCACCAAGTTTGCCTCAGAAACCAACAACATTGGCCAGCAGCGCATGGAGCAGGTGAACAAGATGGTTAACGAGATGATCGACTGCGGCCACACGGACGCGGCCACCATCGCTGAGTGGAAGGACGGACTGAATGAGTCATGGGCCGACCTCCTGGAGCTGATGGAGACACGCAGACAGATGCTGGCGGCGTCGCACCAGCTGCACAAGTTCTTCACTGACTGCAAAGAGGTACAGTCAAAACAAATATCAGTCTCTGACTCATGTGTAGCGCGTTCTTCATCTCCAAGGTAGACTGTCTGGCTGTGACATGCGGCTTCTATTTTTAAAGCTCTCATCATGAGGACGTTGTCCTGTGTTGTAGGTCTTGGCTCAGATTGCAGGGAAGATGAAGCAGCTGCCAGAGGTGAGGGCGTGCCAAGCCAACATCACCAATCCAGCCACCCTGCAGAGACTCATGCACTCCTTTGAGCATGCCCTTCAACTGCTAGTCGCACAGGCAAGTGATATGACTTCTCTCCTAACCCATCGGTCACAGAGTGAACTTGCTGAGTGAATATGAATTTCACCAAACTTATTTGTGATTAGAAAAACTGTATAACTGGCCCTAACCCAGCCCTTAGGATATAAAACTATATTTATATACAGATTTTTTTGCTTGTGTGTGTATATTTTTACCAACAATCAGAATCCCAACGTATACCAGTTCAGTTCAATTTATGTTCCACAAATACAACTTTTCTTCCATTCTGACTGCACTTACATTGACTTGTGATGAAGCCACTGTCTCCCGTCATCCCGTTGTGGTGCAGGTGAGGCAGCTGCAGGAGAACGCTGCCCAGCTGAGGACCATCTATGCTGGTGAGAAGGCTGAGGCCATCATGGTCAAAGAGCAGGAAGTGATGGAGGCGTGGAAGGAGCTGTTGAGCTCTTGTGAGGCCAGTCGCGTCCAGGTCACTTCAGTAACCGACAAGGTGCAGTTCTTCTCAGTGGTGCGTGAAAACTTGATGTGGATGGAAGGCATCATGGGCCAGATAGGATGGGATGAGCCCAGGTAAGATATATATATTTGATACAGTATGAGTTCCAGGTTAAGTTGCCACATTCTGTGCATCAAAGTCTGTGGTGTTGTGCAGTCCCTGTAGACAGAATGTCATCACTGTGCAGTGTCGTACTAAGCTGCTGTGCCACCTTGACCTACTTTCAAATGACATCTTCATTCAATTTTTCATATGTAGCTGAAGACTATAAATTTTTACATTGTAATCACTGGCATTATTTGACATTTCTCCCAGTTTAACTGTTCAATAAGCCTGCAACAATTCCAACTTGGCTTGAAATCTTTTAGCAGATGTCGATATATCAACAAATGCATCAACAGCCAGCACTATGGGACTGGTAAAGATGGCAAAACATATGTGCATGTACTGTATAGGGCTGCAAGTGACAGTTTCTTGCATTTAGAGTTGAAATATCAATTAATAAATCAGTTAATCAACAGAAAATAAATATTTTGATAATAGTTTCACTGACAAAATTGCCTAGATACAGTTTGTTAATGGTGGAGATTTGCTGCTTTTGTGCGTCTTAAGACGTCACCCTGGATGTGAGGATATTGTAAGGAACTTACAATGGAAGTCTGTGGTTTATTTTTTAATCAATAAATTGTTTAGTCTGTTAAATGTCAGAAAGTCCACCCTCGTCCAAGGTGAGCAGCAAATAAGGCAGGTGCAAATTTGACTTTGACTTGACAAATTCTCACACTCATGAAGCTGAAACCAGTGAATGGTCTGCATATTTTCTTCAGAAATGACTTCAATTGTTAATATAACGCCAACATTTATGTCATTTCAGTTTTTGTTTTGTGTATGTGTGTGTGTGTGTATGTGACAAACATACCATGTAAAGTATTTGTCACTTAATCTAATCTTTATAAATTGATCCCTCCATCCTCAGGGATTTGACGGCTTTAGAGGGGATGATGAAACAACACCAAGAGCTGAAAGCCAAAGTAGACGGCCGCAGCAAGACCATACAGCAGTGTGCAGATCTCGGCAAGATCCTGATAGCTGCAGGCAACCCTGCATCCGAGGAGGTCAGGCTAAAGAACTGTACAACACATCTGTATTTGTATCACGCCACAAAAAAATGAAACCTATACAATACTTCATGACTATGTAGCGGCATGTTGTTGTGGTCATGACTGTAAATCTGTCTGTCACCACAGATAAAAGAGAAGTTGGACAGCCTTCTGTCTAAGCAGAAGGATCTTGTTGAAAAATGGGACAAACACCAGGAAAAGTTACAGCGCAGTGAGTAACTCATGTCTCCATCAGAGCAGAAGCAGCTCTTAACACAACACATTGTTAAATGTCGAATGGACTCAAACGCTTTTTCCACTTCATCCTGTTATGTGCAGTTAATGTATCATGAATCATGTATGAATCTTATTGTTCTTCTTGTTTGCACTGACATCAACCACTCACTCTGAACATGAAATAAATGATAAGATAAACATCCAAGCTACGCTCTCACACATAAAATGTCCCCATGATATACACACCAGCATGTAAACAACAGATTTCTACTGGAGCGTGCGTTAAAATGTGGTGTAATGATAACCGTGTTGTTGGTCTGCTGTCACCTCCAGAGCAGGAAAAGTTCCAGTTTGCCCAGGAGACGGTGAAGGCGGAAGCCTGGCTGAAAGCCAAGGAGCCACTGATCACCTCCAGGGAGCCTGAAGGAGGAGAAGCCCAGGCCCAAACAGACGAGGCTGAGCAGCTCATCCTTCGCCACGAGGCCTTCCGCAAGGCTGCTGTAACCTGGAAAGAACGCTTCAGCTCCCTCCGCCAGCTTTCCGCAGTAAGCTTGACTGTAGATAAATGTTTAATCAGTTTGGTGGAGTCACAATTTAATGCTGCTACAGGAAAAAAAAAAAAAAAAAAGTGACCTTGGCTTGTTGTGTTTGCTTAGCAGTTATAGGCTCATGCATTGTTATGGGCTTATATCTGTTTCATGATGTTTACTGCATGTGGTGCACCCTAGCTCCCTGCACCCCAACTGCTAACAGCATTGTTTACATTGTTACACTGCTTTGAGCAAAAACTCCTGATAACTAGCTATACCTCAGTTGTATTGGATCCACCCTGCCTGATTTCTGGTTTGTGTAGTGTTATTATTTATTTAAACTCTTTCTTTTAGGCTGAGAAGAAAAAAGAGGAGGAGAAAAAGACAACCCCACTCTCCAGCCGAAGGATGTTCCCATTATCTTGTCTGACTCCAAACGTTCCCTCAACCAGTGCTACCTCATCTTTCTTGAGGCAAACAGTACAGGCACATATAGAACCCAAATCCCTACAGACCAGTCTGGATCTAGGTGCCACCCCTGCAACCCAGAGATTGTCCTCAACGCTAGGAAGCTACAACCCAGTCATAAACGGATCAGGCTACCACGGACTGGAGCAGCAGTGCAGCGGGAAGTTGGTGACCTCCTCGTACCTCGGGATGAACCACCAGGCAGCCGGAGGTGGGAGTGACTCCGGTTTCTCGGTGTTGACCTCGCAGAGTGGTGGAGCAGACACTTCTACCTACCTTGGGATAAACCATCAAACTGTTGGCAGTGCAGAAAGCTCTGGGTACTTTGGAATGACTGCTGCGTGTGTAAGTGGTATGCAAAACCATTATAGCAGTGGCAGATTAGGAAGTTCGGGTAACCTAGCTCAGCAGCCAAGCAGCGGAGGTATGGGAAGTCCTGGCTTTCTCCCTCAACAGAATATGGGTAGTTCCGGATATTTGGCCCAACCACAAAATGTGGGAAGTCCTGGATATTTGGGACAACAGCCTAATTTAGGGAGTTCAGGATATTTGGCACAACAGCCTAATATGGGGAGTTCTGGGTATTTGGCACAACAGCCTAATATGGGGAGTTCTGGGTTTTTGGCACAACAGCCTAATATGGGGAGTTCTGGATTCCTAGCGCAGAATTATCAGAGCAGCGGGGGATTGGGTAGCTCAGGCTTTCTGGCACAAAATCATTACAGCAGTGGAAGTCTGGGCAGTTCTGGTTACTTAGCTCAGAGTGGTGGCATCATGGACCCTAAGATGGCGTATGCATGGCAGCACCTAAAAGCTGACTTCATGCAGCCCAGGATCAACCACATTCACAAGGCAGTAAACCCCCTCCTAGAAGCCAGCAGAGTGCAGCGGGAACAGTTCGGGGACATCCCAATGGCAGATATGATGGGGCCAGAGTCCGGGCTGGAGCTCCTCCACGGCCGTCTCCAGAGGGATCCCCGTGGCAGCCGCTCTGACCCTCAGATGGACCATCTGAGGCGAGAGAGGGAGTACAAGCTGGGCAGACAGACCTCCAGCGAACAGGAGATCCAGGCCAGGCTGAACGAGCTGCCAATGATTGTGCGTCAGGAGCGCTACCGGAGGCGTCTGGAGAGGCAGTCGTCCAGTGAACAGGAGGGCAGCGGCAAGCAGAGGCTGCAGAGGCAGGATTCAAGTGACCTGGAGGGCTCCATTAAGGAGGGTTCTGACAAACGCTCAGGGTATGTAAAGAGTCGTGCTGGTGAAAGAGAAATTCAAATGATCTTCACAAAATTTGTCCTAATGATTTTTAAGGTCGCATAATGATTGTGTGTGTCGTTGGGTGACTCATGTCTGTTGTCACTGCAGGGAGAAGAGATCTACCATGGCAGAGATTGTAGAACAGGTCCAGGAGAGAGAGGCAGCACATGTGAGTTAGCTTACATACACTGTTTTGTAGGTTCATTGTTCTTTGCATCTTTGTGTCACATTAAGTTTTTTCTCTGCTTTCTCAGGCACGAGGAGAGCCTTACCGGCCTCCAAGCAGCCTCTCAGCACCAGTGACTCGTTTTGACGGCCGTCCTCGTGCCCGAGACCGTCCAAAACCAAGGAGGAGGCCACGTCCAAAAGAGCCTGAGGAGACACGACGTTCTCGCTCAGCCCCAGCAACTGGAGCGCCAACAACACCCCAGCCGCCTTCACACACTGCCCATAACGAAGGCTCCCTCTACCGCAAAAAGGCCACCAGCTCTGACCTAGAAGCTCAGCAGAGGAGCCCCAACAGGTACAGCCATCACAGACAAATGATACAGAGGACATAGCTTACAACCCCTCCTCCGAACAGAGAATGTCCAGTTGCCGCTTTGCAAGTGCAACATGGATTTCTCCACATGTTGAAGTGGTGTCCACATGTTGAAGTGGTGTATAAACCTTTCCAAGACCAAAAACGCGAGAGCCGAACTATAAGGAATGGAGTGAACTGCATGTTCATCTGTATTAACGTAAGATGCAAATGTTAGTAAGTACAACTAACTAGTTAACTAACTACAGAGGCCAAGGAGCACATCATGAACTACTTAGTTTGTGCAGTTATGTTAAATTAGAAATGTGTGTGTCGCAGTATTTCCCCCGTGTGGAGGTCGACCCTGGATGCTATTAGAGTTTTTGCTCTCGTTAGCATTTTTCCTGCTTTTCTTTGGATTAAGGGATGTTAACACTTAAGTAACCCCAGCCAACAAGGTAGTGATACATTTGTTAAATACGTACAGACGCAATGCTGTTTCTTTATTTCCATGTCTTTTACATGGATCATTAAATGGTTAGGATGTTGACATTTTGCCTAGGACAGTGTAGCTTTAGCCTCAGTCTTTTAGCACAGTGACATGTCCACCAAGTGCATATTTAAGACCCCTTCTTTGACAAGAATAGAGACCGATTTGGAGTGGACATCACAGTTATGTCAGCGCGGTTGCGAGTGCACTGTGGTGGCAGAAAAACAGTGGAAACAATAGAGTGAAATAGGCAATAAAAAAATAAAATGTCTTGGCTGTTGGATATCACAATAGGAATGCAAAAAAAAAAAAAGATCGCCTTTGAAGCTAAATACAGATGTTTATGGTTACAAGCCATAAAACAGACAGGCTGGACTGAAGAAATCTCCACTGTTTATCACACACAAAAATCAATGATGGCCACAAAGCTGGCATTCTCAGTATCGTTATTTCAACAAACCAATTTGCCCATAGACAGTACTCAGTATTTATGCAAGCATTAAATTAATGAATGGCACATGTGGTAATATTATCTATGATATAGCATTTACTTTGCACTATGACTCAGTACAGACTTGGCTAAGCCTTAGGACCACACAATATCATTGGCATTACAGTTACAATGTACACCTGAGGATGTCTTACATAGGAGGCATCCATGGAGTCCAGACTTTCACTTATTCACTTATTTAACTTGTGCTCTGCTGGAAAACCATTAAGATAATTGGAGAGGGCGTCCAATTGATTTATATTCCTATGTTGTACATTGACACCTGACATTGCTAACTGTAAATTTCTGCCACCAGTTCAGCTCCTCCCACAAAGCACATCATCTTTGTTACAACAGGAGTTTTGCTTTAAATGACAGTAGCTTAATTAGCTAGCTACAGCTGTCAAAATCAGCTAGAGACAATTTTTCATTTCAGTCGGCAAAATAAGAAACCTGTTTTTCTCTTCCACTGTCTGAAATCAAGGACCCATTGTTTCCAAAACGTAATTAATTTTGAGTTAATCTACCATGGTTATCAGTGTAAACTGCATATGCACTGTGCTAAATGGAGAGTCGACAGGCCTAACAACACTGACTAATGCGTTAGTTTGCTGCTGAGCCTTTATAATGACATTATAAATGTGTCATATAAAGGTGTTGTGTCCATCTTTAAACTAATTTGTTATCTCCAGAAATGTTTTCAGTCTTAATCTGTACATATCCACTGAATTTATCACTTTGATTTTACAGTAAGTCCTGGGTGAATGTATACTGTGTGCTGAAAGAGGGAATGCTGACCTTCTACAAGGATGCGAGGAACCACAACACCACGTACAACGGAGAGCCTCCCGTCGACCTTAGTAACTGCACATTTGATCCTTCGATGGGATACAAGAAGAAGAAAAATGTTTTCATTCTAAAGTAAGAACTGTTTAATGTTGCAAATTTGAAATCGTGATTTTAATAGTAAAAAAGTGTAATGTTTCTTTACAATTAAAATAAGAAGTTAGAGCCTATAGCCTATGTTTGATATGACGTGGTTATAAAAGAGGAACTAACTGTCCCTGTTTTCTTTGCAACAGACTAAACGACGGAAACAACTTTGTATTCCATGCAAAAGATGAGGTAAGAACATTTATGTTTAAGACATGTTTAAGATCAGGAAATAATTCACCTTCCTTCTGTGCGCCACATAAGAAGACCATGAGAGACCACACCTCTAGGAGCAAATAAGACATGTCTGCACATTAAGGTTAATAGTGTGAAGTCTGGTGATAGTCTGTACTTTTATTACTGTTAACAAATCCCATAAAATGACCAAATCCAAAGTGTATCCTACTAATAAGGTGTGTGTAACCAAAACCTGATACATCTACAATATAAATCTGTTATTATGAACATGGGTGCTGTGGCTGAATCCTAAATCGCCCTGCTGAAATACCTACCAAGGCACCAAAGGTGTGTTAATCAACAGCTGAAAATAGAAATGCACTATTTTCTCCAGTTTGAGTAAATTTTGCTAAAAAGTACAGTGAGCAGCTGTTTTAGGAAATTACTGAGCCTCTTGTTAAATGAAAAAAGATGTTTTAAATCTGATTTAAATCTTCAGTAAGAAACAATGAACTTGGGGCTGAGAGCCACAGACAGGGTGTGAAAGTCAGATTTGATTTTAGTCTTTTCATGACATTTGCTGACAGTGAGAAAAATATACAGTAGAATATTGCTAAACTTATCTTGCTTGCTGAAACAAATGAACAGATTTAGAATGGACTAAGTGCAGCAAAACGGATCGACATTTACTTTGCACCAAAATACATTTTCAAACATGTTCAGTTTTCACACATTTCAATCATTATCTTAGACAGACATTGAATCACTTTGTCTATTTTTAATTTTCCTTTTGTATTTCTCTATTGAATAAATAAAATAACACAAGATATGAGCACAATATATAGTATAGGGGAACATTTATTTTTTCTTTGATGTCTTAGGGAATTATCTCGATGCAATGCCTATATGGAACCTGGAGTCTTTACAGTGTTTAGGTTGTAAATATACTTATTAAAGCCTTTCATTCACTTTAGGAAAACAACCAAGTTCCAGCTTTTAAAAGCTGCACCAAGTAATTTCACATTTTAGTGGCCCCGTGTGGCAGTGGGAGATAGTAAATAGTATTCTTACATATTTTATGCACTTCATTTATTAGAAAGATGTCAATTAATGGCCAGTAGTGGAAAACAAGAAAAGTGTATGTACTGTACTTCAGAACAGTTGTAGGTACTTTGTATTTTACACTATATTTCAGAAGGAAATACATGGTAACTGGTGTGGGTGGTTTAGGAAAGAAACCAATACACTGAGAGAGGTGAAGCCCCAAAAACAAGTGACTGATGTGATAGAGGAAAGGTACAATACTCTGTCGAGGTCAGGTTCAGTTCAGTTGTAGTTCTCTGTGAACTGGAACTCTTTGAACTGACACCTGAAAATAAGTTTGTTCAAACAAGGGGAGTTCCACACAGTTTCAGTTGCTCTTCCCTGTTGCAGGCTCAGACATATGATTCCTACCATGACAGGATGTTGTAAATCCCAAAACAAAATATGAAAAACATGCAAAACATAAGAAAGAGACTCCTTATATAAGCTGTCTGTCTCTTGCTGGTTTCTGTAGGAGGACCTGAAGGCCTGGACTTCAAATATTACCACCTGTATAACTGAGCATGAGGCCATGGCCAAGTGGGACAAGCCTGGCACCTCGTCCATGGACCCTGACCGCTCGGAGAGGAAGGAGAAGTCGGAGGGGGACGCGGACGCCAGGTCAGAGAGGTCTGAGCTCGTCGAAGGGGAGGAGAGGTCTGAGAAGGAGAGGTCAGAGAAAGGGGATGGCTCTGAGAAGTTAGACACATCAGAAATCGCCGACAAGATCGAGGGCGGGGCGGGGGGCTCCAGCACGTCTGGAAAAAGCAAATGAGGAGCCCCCTTTGTGTTTTAATGTTACTCACAGACAAAAGGCGTAGGAGGCGGTGGGTGGGAGGGATGGATGGAGAGCATGTGCAGCTAGGTTTGCAGATCCTCAGTCACAGAGCTGGAACACACTGAGGCCATGGTCCTTGGACTGACTACTGTAACTGTGACAGACTAATCTCTCAGCCCCTCCCCTTCACCCAGGCAATACATCAGTGCTTGCATCGTGCCACCTGCTGGTAGATAGGAGGTTGGCCCAGACAGATAGACAGACCGACAGACAGACAGACCGACTCCAACAAGTGGTCCCAGGAATTAGTCACTGTCATGTCCCATTGTTGATCGTTTAATCTCTTGGATTCACAGCATCCTTCTGTATGTATCTTTGACTGATAATGTAATGCTCTGTCGATCTAGACGAACCCGAGAAGTGGTGAATGAAATGTTTCACAATATTAAAAAAAAAAAAAGAAAAAAAGTTTTTTGAAGCAATATACTTTTTTTATTTCTTCTCTTTGTTAGAGAGAGAGAGAGAGAGAGAGAGAGAGAAAAAGGGAAAAGGAAACAAGAAATAGTTGCAACTCTATGATTTGTCACTTCCACGTGAGCTTACTCCAAGCAGTTGTGCACCTTAGACACTTGACACATCTGTATACTAATCATAACAACATTTAATCCCATCACACGGCTAGCTTTCAATCATGTTAATATAATGGAATGCTGGTGTTAGCCACCTGACTTCATCGGTCAATGAATACACATTTCTACTGTTTCTTTTCAGTTATTATTATCATTATTGATATTATTATTTATTTATTTATTTTTTGTTCACAATGATCCATGTCAAGAAAAGAGCTTTCCATCAAATTCTAATCCATTAACCCGAGGTGTGTTGTTCAAAGTGGCAATGCTCAAAGTAACACTAAGCCTATGTGACACAATGCCTTTGTATACATGACAAAAATCAGAACATTGCATGAGATAGTCTGTTAGTGCACCTGTTAAAACTTGCCTTTATTTTTATGTTCTTGAAATAAGTTGGGCAGTATTGGAATTGCAATAATAATTCAATGTGAGTGGGGGGGTGTATTTTGCTATCATGGGGCCACACTTCTCAAAATCCAGAGGTAAGTTTGACAAAGTAGGATTGTCTTCTATCCACAGTAAGCATGAGAACAAGGGGGGAAGGGCGGGGGGGTATACTGTACCAGAGTATTGACTACTCCTTGATCTGTAACATAAATTAAGAAGCCAAATGGCCCCTCCGCTGTTTGTACTGTATTACTGCAGTTTATTTTCCTCCGAATGTACTGATCTCAGCTGTGAAATGTTCAATCACCACTGAGCTTGTGGTGCCCGAAATTGTAAAACCCTGAAGCAGTTCACTGAGAGCTAAACCTCTCTGTACCCTGTGTCTTTCATTTGAAGTTCAAACTGATTGGAATCTCTCCACCAAAGGCAAGTTAAATGTAAAACTGTCATGAGTCCAGTCATGAATTGTATATATCTATCTTTGTATGTATACCAATAAATCCTGTGCTCTAATAAAACAATACTCTGAACTGAAATGGGTAAAATTAAAACATTTGTATTAATCCACAAATAAAAACAATCATCACTCAAATATATTAATGTTTATTACATTTAAATGAAAAATATGCAAATTAGGAGTCACTATTAACTATCATAGTGTATATAAGTACACCAGTATCTAGTTGTATTAAACACCTTTTACCAGGGAAGAGCAGCAGGACATACTATAGGTATGCTTGTTGTATTTTTATATGCCTATATTTATTCATATCAGATTCAGGAGTTGCCCCGCAGCCCCAATAAGAACTTGTAATAATAGCTGATTGAGTAGTCAGTGTGTCTGTGAGAGGTGTGCTAAATTTATGTATTACCAACGAGAAAAAAAATCAACTAGCCTGGGCAGTTCACTTACATGCTCCCCTGGATAATTGAGTTATTGGTGACTAAACTGTGATTGCAGAGACAAACAGGCATTAGTCCACGTATTGTTGGTCATGTATGTCAGTTATTTTTTACATGTATCAGTACAGTTAAACTTCCCCTAATGTCAATCAAGTGTGGTCATTATGACACTGTATTTACATGAGGAAAAAGGAGGAACACAGGCAGCTGAGGCTTCCTTCAAATTTGGCTGTTATGGTGTTTCATGTTTTTCCATCCTGTCAAATTGCAACTCAAATATGTAAAAAAAAAAAACAACAACAAAAAAAACAACTTAGTCTTCCTTTCTATTAAAACACCAAAAGCATAACTCAGATGGAGCAGTGCTTGAATTCACTGACTTGAGGATTATAGTGATTGTCTGCGTTACTGCAGCTGTCAGTTAACAGAGAGAATATGAGCTGTGTTATGTTGTAAATGTTATTTTCATTTGTTTCGTTTCATGGTTTGTCTTTATACATACGTGCCATGTCATGCAGTTTGCCGAATGAGTGGTAGAAGAAGAGAAAGCCATGGGTTATTTAAACATGAATAAGGTTTCATCTGACTCGACACTCGTCTGACAGAAAGCCTGTCTTTGCAATACATATTTTTATCACTGAAATAGGAGCTATAGTATTTTCATGTGGCTGTAATTGTTCTGATTCATTGCTCATGACAGATATTTAGCCCGCATCACCATGTGCGTTTTAAGTGTTAGCTTCCCATCACTTTTATGAAACACAAAGGATTTTTTTCCCCACTATGTTATAACAGTAACAGTCGAAATTAAATAGGCAGCATAAACCGTGACTGAAGAAAAAAAAAAAATATTGTGCAAACTCTGTTTCCTTCATTGATGGTCTTACAAGTGTGTATGTCTTTGTTACTTTACATTACAACTTGCTGCTATGACATTAAATAAACCTCCAACCTTGCTGATGCAAACTTGACGTGGAATTGATGTGGACACATATGCTGGTCTCACACACACACACACGTGCGCGCACACATCCACACACATGCACGCACCTAATGGCAACAGTTTGCTCATCACATTGATTTCAGCTACAAACAGTGTGGTTCTCTCATTCTTGAAACTGCAGCTGTCTCAGTATCCATGAATCTGAAGGTGAAGACCTCAGCTGAAAGAACACAACATTATCATGATGAGGTAGCAGCAGCACTGATTAGCATTGGCTCCATTTACTCTATACTAAAGCCTCGGTGCTTCCAACCTTATGGAACAATTTCTTGGGGTCATACATACAGTAGGATATAACACAGTTAAGTATGTTGGGAAGACACTGACATGTAAACACATTCAACTGATGGACTAAAATGTAAAAAAAAAAAAAAAAAAATGTCTTTTTTTTTTTTTTAGAATCATCAGAGTCTGTGTGTGTTTAAGCGCCTCATGGATATAGAGCTGAACTAGCCTTTATACTGACACTACTGCAGGACTGCATTATTGGTGGAAATCAACTGAAGGGCTGGTGTTTTCCAAACTGTGTCCATGTCAAGGGGTTAATCGAAATGCTTCAGATCCATCCCGCTTGCTTCTGTACATACAGTAACTGGTACAACACAAACATTTTTACGCTGTATTTATGGCTTTTCTTATAGCAACTGATGAAAATGCTGAATCTCATCCAGGCTACGTATGTGCAGTTTTAAATAAAAATGTGAGTGGAAATGTGAATAATTTATGTGAGTAAAAATAAAGGTACATGCAACTTTTGTTATGCACTAAGGTACAGCCCCATGCACAGTGTAAAACAGTAGTGGTGATGCAGGGTCTATTCTATAATTAAATAATTAAAAAAAAAATACATACATACATGTATACAGTATTGCACAAATTCTGCACAACTTGATGTATGTTTTAAGAATGTAAATTTTAATTATGATTTGTTTATTGAATTGAATAACATCTGCCAATGTCTGTCTGTGGAAATATGAAATATGGTATTGTCTCATAAAATCTCTTCATCCCTTAATTTTGCCATTGTCTTTTTTCCCCTCTGTAGGTTCATAAAATGAGCTAATGATGGACACTTTATAATGTGACAGTGAGAGTTAAGTAAAATAGCCTGAGTGCTCTTAAGATGATTCAGATGAATTACTGTGATTTAATTATCTTATTGATTCACAATTTTACATATCTCACACATTGCCAAGCAGCTTTTAGATAAACCTGTATACATCATTGCCCAAAGGAGGTTCTACAACTATAGCCATGTCATTCAATTCAATTCAGTTAAATTTTATTTGTATAGCACCAAATTATAACATATATTATCTCATGGCACTTTATAGGGTAAGGTCAAGAAGAATAAGAATAAGTATAAGTAAATATAAGTATAAAGTGTGAGTGTGTCATGCTGCAGTATCTGAGGACAAGTTGTAGGCTACATTCTTCAGACCTAATGAGTTAAAATATCTTCTTCTTTATCACAGAAAAAGAAATTCAAACTCTCCATCCAAAAAATTGTTAGTTTGAATTCCTCTGTTTTCGATTCGACTGGAGAACAGATTCTCTGCCATGATCTCATTAAGTGTAAATGACATTCTTGACCCAGACTGACTCTGATTAAGCTCACTGAGACAAAGCAGATTAATCTGAACTTCAACCACTGCTGCTGCCTCCCTGCCCTTCACAACAAAGGTCGTGGGCTCATCCACTGTGTGGCTGCTCTATAGGTGAGCCTGCGGGACGAGCAGAGTTCACAGAGACCAGCCTTCATCTGGCAGCCCTCAGTCCTCCGACACTATGTGCTGTGATATATGAGACAGTGGGATGACACAGGAAAAAGATGGTGGATGCTGCATGAGGAAAAAGCAGAACGCTTGATGTGTGCTGCAATTCTGAGGAGCTGCCTGTTTAACCCTTTGTGTTCCTTCCTTTTCCATTTGTACACAACCTGAGCACATCAAGTACATTTTTTCTTACTCCTCTGCATTGAACAGCTCCTCTCCTTTTCTTCAACTTATCTTCGAGACTCTATTCCAACAAGGCTGCTCAAGGATGTTTTTCCTTTAATCAACACTTGTTTATTAGATCTGATCAACTTATCTTTATTGATAGGTTATGTACCACAGGTCTTTAAGGTTGCAGTAATTAAAACACTACTTAAAAAGCCTAGTCTTGATCCAAATGTTTTTATCAATTACAGACCCATATCCAACCTCCTGTTTATTTCTAAAATTGGCTCTGGTTAAGGTTACTAATGATCTCCTTATGGCCATAGACAATGGACTCGTCTCTATACTTGTCCTATTAGATCTTAGTGCTGCATTTGACACCATCAATCACAGGATCTTATTACAGAGACCAGAACGTATCATTGGCAAGAAAGGAACTGCACTAGGCTGGTTTAAGTCATACTTATCAAATAGATTCTAGTTTGTTCATGTTAACAATGACTCTTCCATGCACACAAGAGTTAGTTATGGCATTCCACAGGGTTCTGTGCTAGGACCGATACTTTTCACCTTATATATGCTCCCTTTAAGCACCAGGTAAGTTTTCATTGTTACGCAGATGACACCCAGTTGTATTTATCTATGAAGTTGGGTGAGACTAACCAGTTGGTCAAACTTCAGGCATGTCTTAAAGACATAAAGGTCGGGATGACCAATGATCAATTTTTTACTTCTAAATTCAGACAAAACTGAGGTTATTGTACTCGGCGCTAAACACCTCAGAAATACATTATCTGATAATATAGTTCCTCTGGATGTCATTACCTTGACCTCCAGTGCTACAGTAAGAAAACCAGTCATTTACTTCACACTTAAGGCAGCCTTCTTCCACCAGTGCAACATTATGAAAATCAGAAACATCCTGTCTTTAAAAGATGCTGAAAAACTAGTTTATGCAGTTGTTACCTCTAGGGTGGACTACTGTGATTCTTTATTACCAAGATGTCAAGCCTTGTGACCAGTGAAAAACCTCCAGTTGATTCAAAATGCTGCAGCGCAAGTACTGACAGGTACTAGGAGAAGAGCTCATATCTCTCCTGTGTTAGCGTATCTGTATTGGCTCCCTGTAAAATCCAGAATAGAATTTAAAATCCTCCTCCTCACCCACAAAGCCCTTTATAACCAAGCTCCATCATATCTTAAAGAGCTCATAGTTCCCTATTATCCCAACAGTACAGCCTCTCGCTCTCAAAATGCAGGTCTGCTTGTGGTTCCTGGAGTTTCTAAGAGTAGAATGGGAGGCAGAGCCTTCAGTTATCAGGCTCCTCTCTTGTGGAACCAGTTCCCAATCTGGGATCAGGAAGCAGACACCCTCTCTACATTTAAAATCAGACTTCAAACTGTCCTCTTTCATGAGGCTTATAGTTATGGCTGGCTCAGGTGAGTCCTGAACCATCCCTTAGTTATACTGCTATAGGCCTAGACTGCTGGGGTGACTCCCATGGTGCATTGAACCCTCTCTCTCTCTCTCTTTGCATTTATATCATACTATGTCATGTCATTAACTTATATTTTCTCTCTCCCCTAGTTTGTGCTTCTCCTCTCTCTCTCTCTCTCTCTGTCCTCATTATGCAGGTATCTCTGATTCTGGATTATTATGGGTATTACAATTACTAATGTTGCTACTATCACCATATCAACAGAATATAGCCTACAGCTGTTCTTAGTCCAAATATTTTTGCTACACAGCTGTGGACATGTATCATGGATATATTAAGAAGAACAGTGTGGGAACATCTCATATTGATCTCATATTGATCCTTGATCATCGCCTGACCGGGAAATTGTGTTGGTCATCCATCTTGAAGGTCATCCCAAAGCCTCTCATCTCTGCTCCAAGGACCCATGAGCGAGGATCCACTAGACATCCTTCACAGAAGGAAGGTTGCTGCAGCTGATCAACCTGATCTGAATTTGCATCACAACATTACCAGATGAGCTTTAGATGTTATCTGTTTTTCAGATTCGACATCAAATCATAAACAGTGGCTCTATGTCTGATTAGTAAAACAACCAAAAACCATTAATTACAAACATTTTTCTCCTCATGATCACTTATTTCCCCATTGAATCTGTATCATTGAGAATACATTCTGTGTGATGGGGAGAGTCTGATTCTTTCAGAAATAACCACATTTTGCTTGTGTGTGGTCATTTCCAGAAACTGTATAGTTTGATGTGAGGTATACTTATCTAATACACTTTCCTGGAAACATAATGATTTGCTATAAATTATAAAACATAATTGTAACCTGGATTATTACATACTGAATTTACAAACCCAACATAAAAAATTGAGGCAAATAGGATAATCAATGAATTAAAATGTTTCATGTGCAGTTTTTTAAATAAATGTGCATATGTTTGTCAAACAGTTTCAACAAAGACGCATAAAACACTGCTGTTATTATTTGGACAGTGTGTATGTGAGCAAATACAAACGCCAAACAGTGAAAAGTCTCCTCAGAGCTCTAACATCTGTGTGACAGCTGATCCAGCTGTGATGCAGTTGTGCAAACGTCATCAGAAACGGACGTCGCATCAGATGATGGTTCAGAGAAAAGGACGTCTGACGTCTCTTCTTGCATCGTCTCGGTTGGGAGGGGGTCGAGGAACAGAGGCAAGGAGGGAACAGTTAAGCGGACTGGGGTGTCTCACGTTTGTCTACTCTGAGACTGTCACATGACCTGTCGTTCTGCACCTGAGGGCGGGGCTCTGGCTACATACGCAGCTACGGAAGCCTTAGAGTTCGAGCTAGCTTCCTGAAAATGGCCAGCTGGGGAAAGGTCGCTTCTGTGTTGAGGAACGTGTTGAGGAGCCCTCGGGCTCTGCGGAGTTTGTCTCTGCGCCGGGTTGTCGGTCCCGGTGTTGTGGGCTCGGTTATAGGAACCGGGCTTTTCTGTTATTACCGATATCACGCAAACAACAGGACATTGCCCTTCGCCGTTCACGCAGAAGAGCAGAGGGTGAGTACGAACAAGTTTCTGTCGTCGAAACAGACACACTGGTGTGATCCGTGAACGTTTCACATGTCCGTCAGTTTACATAGACAGCACTAAGTTTCAAAATATTAGTCATAGCTGCGGAGAAATGTCGAAAAAAGGAATATAATACTATAATACTCAGCTGAGTTTGTATCAACAATAACGCCCCCCAGCCGTCACTCACTGACACACCATGCAGAGTGGACTGCTGTTTGAATGCAGATGGTGCAGCTGTTTATAGTGATGTTTCTGTCCCCTGTCTTGGCCCAGGAAGCTCCAGCTCCTCAGCTGTCCGCCAGAAAGAGACGTTTCATCAAGTTCGCCTCCATGGTCTACGAACAGGAGCCCTACATGACGCCCAGAGACTTCCTGTTCTCCGTCATGCTGGAGAATGTGGACCGTGAGCTGCACTGACTTTACACCCTCCATACAGTGACAGCCTGCAGTCTGAATCTAGTCTCACATTTCTAATGACAGAGTGGAAATATTATAAATACATGTTATACACCTTTTCCATACATCATAGACTGTATGAGAGGGTCATAATAAGGTTAATTGTAAGTTTATTGAAATAGAAAAAGATGGAGGAAAGTCAAGGTTACCAGTAAAGACAGTGATACATGTGTTAGCAGGTGAAGACATGGACCAGAGAGAAAGGCTGGAGCCTGCAGCTACACAGTGCTAATGTGAAAGCACCAAGGCTTAAAAATCTAACTGATCGGCCAAATTGAATAACAAATATGTCATGTTGATTAAAAATGAGGTTGCCAGCAGCAATAGATGAGTGGCAGTATGAAAATGTTGAATCACAAAGCATATGGGCTCATTTTTAACATCATTAGACCAGCAAAACATGATAAAATCATTCATGCAACATGTTTGTGCCGGGATCAGAGTTCATGAAATATCACTTACAGATGTAACCTAATGTATACATCAATGCCTTTTACTGTATTGATGGTAACTAAAGATTATTTTATAGATCTATAGAATATTTTTAACAAATGCTTTTTTTTTTCTTTTTTTTTTTTACATCTTTACAGACATTGCAAACAAAATTATGTAGAGGAATACAGTAAACACTGGAAATGTAAACACTGTAGGCGTATTCGCCTTACAAATGTATAATCATGGTCATTTCTTTTCCTTGGGTCCGCATCAGAAGCTGTTTGTTGTTGATTGGTTATGGTATCAGCTGGTCGTAGGAAGTATCTGGCTCAAAAGTTAATTAAATGCAGCTTTGTTGAACCATGCAGACATTCAGATCTATAAAACCAAGATGCATGACATAAATTCACACATAATGCTGGCCTTGACGTTGTTTTCTGTTTCTTCTTGTGCAGGAAAGCTGCAGAAGAGAACTCTAACAACAGAGGTATATTTACATGTCCCTTTTACAGTGTGAAAATAAGTTCATTTCAAACTGCACATGTTGAGCACAGTCATTAGTTTGGGCTAATGGTGCTGTCGTCTGCTTCTTCCTGCTGTCTTTGCAGGACGTTAATAAGATGCTGGCCTCTGCCTCTAAAGCTCGGTCTGGTAATGATCTGTTCAGAACCTTAGGAGACCATGGTGAGTTATTAATCTGTCATCAGAGTACACTTAATACACAGGAGCTTCAGACCTAATATCCTGTATCCAGATGTGTTCACACAGTGTCTTGATTCAGTTGTGACTGACTTGAGGTCACACTTGACATCAGAGTGTGTCTCAGATGAATTTTGGGGTGGGGTGGATTTTGTTTCTCCTTGAATTTTATCCGTGTGAATCACTGTCAATGGTTGAAAGACATGGGAGAATAATTGTCCCTCACCTGGACACACAAGAAGGCTGGAGCATTATCTATTCAAGGTCATGGGTGTAAGAAGTGTAAGAAGGTCAAGAGAGACCGAAATGTTAGGATGATCAATAAATTGTGATGATGATGAGCAAGAGCATTTTGCAGAATATTCTTCTGAAGAGACACTTTCCAACGCAACTGCATCCAAGACGTTTGGATGTGTCGTGAAAAACTGTGTGACCTTAATAGGAAAAATACACATCTCTCTGCTTGCACATGATTTCTTTTTCAATATCAGTCGAATTTCTAAACTCTAATTTCACATGCATTTCTTTTTATCTTGCAGGTTTGATATCCTACACAGAGTACCTGTTCCTGCTCACTATCCTTACCAGTAAGTTGCTTGTAGATTCCCAAACCTTCCTGGGCCTTATAAGAGCTTCCCTGACTCTCAGTAATAATGTGCTGAATGGCTTTGCATGTGTTTCCTTGTGTGGTTGTGCTTCAGTAAGAATACTGATTTTTTCCCTGTTGAAGCTTTGCACACTTGCACATTTCGAGTGGAGCTAGACAACAGCTGTTGATGTTTTTTCTTTGGTGTTACCCCGCTAACCAAGTGTATTGATTCTTTTGAAGTTATCTGTATACAGTTAAAGAAAACTGACAATGCTATGCTGTTGCAGAGCCGCGCACAGGATTTCATATAGCTTTCAAAATGCTCGATGTTGACGGCAATGAGCAAGTGGACAAAAAGGAATTTCTCAAGGTAAGAGCTCTGACATGTCTGGATTATTTATCAGAAATAACAGAACAAATATTGATCATAACACAGATTGTTTCATATGTAAGCTCCATAATCATGGGATATATTATACAGAGAGAACTATGATTCTGTTTGTTCACATGTCTGTGTGTGCACTTAAATTTCAAAATATTGCCACTTTTAATGCTGCCTCAAGCTGTGATGCTACTAAAGTTGTAAGTATGGAGACATGGAGCCGTGTGAAGGTGAGGGAGAGCTGCACTTTCCATCTGTTATGCGTTTGCAGCCTGAGTCAGCTCCTCCGTTTAATCCATTTATTTAAGGTCACTCGCAATTTTTGTGTCTCTTTGTACCGGACTGTGATGACGAGAAGACCTCCAGTGTGTTTAGTCTAGATCAGGTCTAGACTAGTAGATTGCATGATGGCACGTTATGCAACTTGTGTAGTATTCTCATGTTGTGACTTGGTGCACAGGTCTAAAGCATTCAGTAAAAGATTAGAAGTGCATGAGTTCTCATCTGCTCCAGTTTCTGTTGTGTGTGTGTGTGACTTAAATGAAGGTCGTTTCTCTGGTTTGATCAGTGACATACTCCTCTTTCAGTTCAGAGAAGATATAAAAAAAAAAAATAAAAAAAAAATCAGCGCAGAAAATCATTTTTATTTTCTCTGATTAGATGTTAACAATAATTTGATTTTTTTTTTTCTTTTGCTAATGAAGCTGAAGAAAATCATTGGGAAAAGTAAAATGAGAATTCCTAAGGACAGCACAGAGGTGGGTATTTCACATTCTTCTAAAAGGACCGTTTATGATGATTCTGTCACTAATACAGTATAATGTCTGGCCATCCGGTTTTAATGGTAACAATACACGATACATGATGTTTACAGAAACCAGAAGAGAAAGGGGAAGGTGTGAACACGACACTACAGGCCTACTTCTTTGGGAGAAAAGGAGAAAACAAGTTGCAGTATCAGGAGTTCCACAGGTAAGGAAATGGCCTCTACTGTCCCACACTCAGCTGCTGCTGTCAGTGATCCTACCACATTATTGATATATGGAATATATTTTTCACATTTCAAGAATCTTATCTAATCACCATCCACCATCTGCAATGAGAAACAGCTTCTCCTCATGCTTTTCAGTGACTGTGATAATGATGTCAGTACGAACCAGCACTAGACAATAGACATAAACATTACTCAGTTGTTGTTCCATCACTCCTTTTGAATACTAAAATGACTCTGGCTCATTTGTCACAAGAATTTCAACGTGCAAAACTCTCAATCTAACGAGCTAAAAACAGACTCACTAAGTTCTTACACTTTATGTCCTGACAGACAAAGTGTAAAACACTACATCACATGCTCAGGCCTGTACAGACAGCTCATTAGTAACCACACAGTCGCTGACTCAATGCATCATGTGTTTGCAAGCATTTCTCCTAGTTTTAATGACATTACCCTGCTGAACAGCATCACGACATAATGTAGCTGCTAATTCTGGCACAACTGGAGAGAGAAATGTGATTTCTTTCCTTTTTTTGTGTCAAAATGTTACAGTGCATTGAGTCTGTTACAGTAGTGTGAAATCTGGTTTAATGGTACACTGTACATTATGCTTTCCAGCATTACAATATTACAGTAGCTTACTGTGTTGTAGATTTTTAAATTTACAAGTGAATGAAAACTCCAAGGTTTGTTGCCTTGAATAAAAACAAACTCTGTGGTTGGTGCAGAACAGAAACAGTAAACTGATGTACAATCATCATTTTGCCGTGTATGAAACCAGAATTTACTGTTGTATAAAGTCAGGCTCTAAACTACATCATCTATATTTAGATAGATTTCAAGGTTCTTTTACTTTTCTATAAAGCTCTTGAACGGGTTTGGGGTCCGTTTACATTGTGGACTCTGTTGTTAAATAATCCTTAACATCCTTCTACTGCCAGGCTTTTAAATACACAAAAATTTTACACACAAGACAATAGGCAGCAGTTTTTTTTTCTTTAAACTATGCTCCAAAACCATGGTATACCCTACCAAGAGCTTTAAGAGATGTGGGCTCTGAACATTTTTAAACAACAGCTGAAAATCTATTTATTTATATTGACTTTACATTATCTTTCTATTCATCCTTGTTTTATTGTACTTTTTTCATTTTTATTTTTATTGTAAAGCACTTGGAGCTACATCTCTTTTATGAAAAGTGCTCTATAAATAAAGTTCATTATTATTATATTTACAGTAATATGTCACATTCAATAAATTAAATGGAAGTTTTAAAAACAGGAATCTTTAACCCGCACTTTCACTTTTTATTTGACTCATTTTAATTGTGACATCTAACTTGCAATAACAATTTATTTGCAACGTTGCAAATAAGTTGTTTATTTATGGCAAGTTGGACGTTACTACTTCAGAAGCATTCATCCTCCTCCTACACACCCGCCTCACTAGATGTGTGAAGTGTTTTATCTGTTTTGAAACGTAATTGTAAAGAATGGATTCATTTTTAGATACTGTATATTTGTCATGTTCTCTTGTAAGTGACAAGGTCATAATGTTGTGACCATTTTCTTCTCACAAACCTCAGAACTCAGTTACTCAAGTAAACAATGTGTGTCCTTCAGGTTCATGGAGGACCTGCAGGCTGAAGTCCAGGAGATGGAGTTCCTGCAGTTCTCCAAAGGTATGGACACCATGCGAAGAGAAGACTTTGCAGAGTGGCTGCTCCACTACACCAACGAAGAAGACAATGAAGTCTATTGGGAAAACATGAGGAAGCGGATCCCGGCTGGCCAGGTACAAAGACTCTGCCTCTCCTCTGCTGCAGTCAGATGAGACAGAAATGCTGTGAAAATACCACAAATCAAGTGACTTATTTTGTCTTGCAGAGCATCACATTCGATGAGTTCAAAGTCTTCTGTCTGTTCACCAACAACCTGGAGGATTTTGCCTTTTCAATGAAAATGGTCACTGGAGCGAACCGTCCTGTTGGAATGGGTAAAACTGTTATTCTAGTGAGGATAATTTCCTCTTAACACTATATACAGCTTATGACATTTCCCCTTCTTGTGACTGTAGCCCAGTTTAAGCGAGCTGTGAGAATTGCCACGGGCCACGACCTGTCTGAGAACGTGCTTGACACCGTATTTAAACTCTTTGACATGGATGGAGACAACTGTCTGAGCCATAAGGAATTCATCGGTGTGATGAAAGACAGAGTGCTTCGAGGCCTGAAGGTGAGTTCATCCATCCGGATCTTTTTTAGATTTGAAGTTATTTCATTAAGAACAGTGTGACTGCTGTTGAAATTGGAGAACAAAAAACTGTGGACACACTTCTAATACAGACCTGTTATTCATTACATGGCCCTTTGTGACGTAGTTTGTGTTCCCTTTGAATGTCATAGTGAACTGAGGTGTGAACTGTTAAGTGTGACTGACGCTGTTCTGTCCTCAGGTGCAGCCTCAGAACGGCTTCTCTGGCTACTGGAAGTGTGTGAAGCAGGAGACTCTGAAGGGAGCTCAGGAAGCCCTGGGAGACAACGGGTGCCCCATTTGAACCACTGTGATGTTGCAGGAGACGTCTGATAGATGATCACTCGCACCACTGCTCATCTTAAATCAAATAAGTGGTGTGAACAAGATTATAAATGTAACCACATGTAAAGAAACTAAGGATTTACACCACTATCTTATGCATAAATTACATGTTTACAAGGTTGTTTGATATTAGTTTACTTAGCTATCTGTGGGTCTGGTTGTGGTGTTTACGATGTTACAGTAATTTCTTAATCACGCCATGCATGGTTATATTCAGAGTGGCTGATGACTTTCAAATTAATCTTGCACTTTACACACTTTGGCGCTCATGAGCAGTGTGTTTACAGAAGTTGTTAACTGTGGTTCAAGGTAAATCAATAATTCTGTTCATATTGACACATTTACATTTTCAAAGGCTTTTATAGTACCTGGTGTGGGTTTTTTCTTTTTCAAAAATATTTATCAAATAAAGTTTTATTTAAAAAAAATCCTAACGTTTCAATAATGTGCTGCACATTTTGAGCTTCAACTGATTCAAACCAGTAGCAAAAGAAACCAGCTACAACCGCTAACTATTTTGTAATTTATTTTAGAATTGACCTGTTAAGATCACATGAGTATGTGGGTTAACCATTGAAGATTGTGGTGCTAATTATCTTACCATACATACAAGTCAAAAAGTAAATAGACAAAACAAGCTTACCTCTGTGATAGATGAACAAATTAGTGACTGATGCCAAGGTTATCAGTGAATACAGCATACACAGCTACAATACAATAAAATTACATTGCGCATGAAGCCATCTTTGGTCTTCTTATCACTATAAACAAATACATATAAATTTGTATTGTATCAAAAATAGAAATTACATAGCCATATTGAAAGTAAATTCACATTTTTGACATACAATATAAGGAGAATACCTAAGAGACATATTGTGGGATTACATTTTTTTTTTTTTTTCAATCCTTGGCTTTAAGGACCCAATGGTTTTGCCACATTTTTGAACATTCATTTGTTTTTCAGAGAATTGCATGATCCTGTTAAACCACCTATCAATAATCGCTGTCACCCATCTGTATAGGACAGTATACAACATATAAAACAAAAACACAAATGAAAGACAAAATAGATTGTCATTCTTAAAACAAGCATGTGCTTTCAATCCTGGGCTTTGAGTTGAGGCCTGTCGAGAGGCCTCCGCTGCACTGGACAGAGGAGAGAGGGAGAAAATGTGGTTGGGACTCAACATTCAGTCATGATGCTGTAGCTCAGCCTGAACAGGTGAGACGAGCCCTGACAGACGGACATGTCCCTCTTCTCATGAGTGAGTCTTTACTTAACGGTGTGTGTGTGTGTGTGTGTGTGTAGCTGTCCTCGTGGGGTTCAGAGTTATTCTGTTCTCAGAGGCACAAATGATGAACTGCAGCCAAAGAGGACCTCTGCTTGAGATAATAGGGAAGTGCTTTCAAAGTGTTTGATCCACTGTGGAAAAAGAAGAAAAGCATGTGTAAATATTTGGGAACATTATAAAGAAACAGTATGGTAACAATGTCCAGCTTTCTTTTCCAACTGAGCTGTGGTTTTGTTGCATTTGGTTTTAGTTGCCTGAGGAGCATTATATAAAAATAGGATATGAAAATATCAGAACAAGCTCTGGCACGAGTGTAAACAGGATATATTTTTTGGGGATGTAGAATATGTAGTCTTTAAATGTGGTGTACCTGAGGACTGCAGTGAACAGTTATTCTTTTATTATTGATCACTCTGCCTGTTATTTTCTAGTTTTTTAGTTAGTTGATCAATTGGATGTCAGAAAATACCTACGCTGACATATTCAAAAGTCTTGTTTTGTCCATGCAACAAGGGCTAAAGATATTCAGCTTAATATCATAGACATCTGAGGAAAACAGCAAATGGCATTTTTCTTTTAAACCTGCTTCAATGATAAATTGTTGTGACAACTACCAGTTGCTCTACAGCACATAAAATACAGTTTAGTTGATGACCTTATATCACAGAAATCAGAGCTGAGATCATGACCTGAGGTTTTCATGACACCTCAACTGTTTGTATTTTTTATTTTTCGTTGTCACTTCATTTTTTAAATTCTTGAAACAGCTTTTAATGACAGATTTAACATTTCCCTCTAAATAAGCATCCACCACAATTAATCATTCAAACATTTGGTCTATAAGATGTCAGAAAATTGTGAAAATGACTTTTTCCACATTTTCAGAAAAGTTGTTTTGTCAGGCCAAAAGAAGTAAAACTCAGATGTTACGTTTGCTATGACGTAAGACCAAGAAAAGCTGCGAACATGTTTTAAGATGGAACTAGATAATGTCTGGTATTTTGTTCAGAAAAATTGCTTAACTAAATAATCGATTATCAGAACAGTTGCTGATTAATTTTCTGTCCATCGATTAATCAATTTATCATTTCAACTCTAGTCCCAATCATCAAAATGTCTATATATGGCAGGTTTCTACACTTTTCTGTCAATTTAAATGTGAGTTGCAATAGTGCAGTGTTCTAGTCTGTGTGTTAAAATGCAAATGTAAACAAAGGATGGAATGGAGAGGGTATTTCCAGTGTCAAATAACTGATGAATAAAGTCAACAGATATCGTTTTTCTTTACGGCACACAAATGATAAAAAGATGTTTCAATATTTATTTACACTGCTAATGCTCCTACAGTCACTGTGACACTGAGTTTCCCTTATCTTACAGTGCAGTGCCACCAGAAGGCACATTTAGCCCAAAGGAGCCTGTGTAGCTCAGTGTATTTTGTGTAATAAACATTGTGATAATTAGCTGTGGCTGTTGTTTAGATATTATTATCATTATCTAAATAAGTTATTTATTTTTAAATTATCATTATTAATACATTTTTATTATTCTTCACTCCTGCCAAACTTTTAAAACTTTTGTACATTCTGCTGTATAGTTTAAGAGATGACATTGATGGATTATCATCGCTGATGTTTGTGTGCAACCGTGGGAGCGTGAAGTTTAAAATATCACCTAAAAACAATGGAACTGCTTTACAAATCTATTCTATTGCTGTGTAATTTCAAACCAAGCAGCTGAAAAAAAGAAAACAGCATCAAAACAACCACATATCCATTGTTGATATCACAGATTCATTTGTAACTAATTTTTTTTTCTACTTTAGATCATGCACTTTATTGTTTTAGGTTTTTTTTGGTTTTGCATCGTTTTATTTCTTAGTTTTTTTCCAAACTGAATGTTAAAGCCAATTACTGAATGGTCACATCCAAACCAACCTTCTCGGGATACCTGCCCCTGTATTCACTAGTAAAAGCAAGATGCTGGTCAATAAAAATGCAGGATTTCTCACCATCTTACCATTCACCACAAAAGGATGGAGACGTCAAGGGTCGCTCTCTTTCTTTACCGTCACATCTCCGTCTCCGGCCAGGATGGTTGAGATCTCTCCCTGCATGAAGGCCCAAGGCACAGTGGATCCAGCCAGGGGACAGCGCTCTCCACTGGGGCAGTACACCTCACCTCCTTGACCTTGGCTGCGGATGAATCCTCGGGTACAGGGAAAGCAGAACTTGTGGTGCGGGACTGAGGGACACTGGACAAAATGAGTGTCCTCCAAGCGCTCTCTGCAGAGGGTGCAGCAGAGCAGGGTGCCCTGAGCACTGCTTGAGGACTCCCCAGCATTGGTGTTGCTGCTCGGCCCCACCGCACTTAAACCCTGCCCCATGGATGCCTGGGAGACTGAGGTGGAGGCAGTGGAGGGGCTGCTGCTGGTGGGACGCCCGGCTGAGGAGGAATGGGCTGTAGACATGCTGGGGCTATCTCTGGCCATCTGGGTGGAGCTCAGACTGTCTGCAACTCCCATGAGTGCTGAGATGGGTGAGGGCTGGCTGTGTAAACGGGGTGGGCCTTCTTGAGGGGTGGCCATGCCAGGAAGAGGTTCCATGCCAGAGTAAGCACCTCGGGGCCAGGGCTCTCTTGCTGGATGATCAGGCCTCCCTTCGCTCTCTCCATTCTCAGAGCCTGGAGAAGCCTTGCGGCGTCGAGTTGTGCTCTTCGTTTGTATAGGGCGTCCAGCAGTTGCCATTGGCAACACTGCATCTGGCTGTGGTAGAACCTCTGGGATTGGGGGCTCTTTAAACATACGCACACCATCATTCAACAGCTCAGACAGCCCACGCCAGTCTCCTGTGCCTTGCCGCTTCTCATACTCCACATATCGTAGCCCAGAGTTCACTGCTTTACCTGCATCTTTGGCCGAATCACGGAACATCTGCCTGACCAGGTCTGGGACTCCTGAGAAGATCATTCCAGACCCGGCAGGATACTCCACAAACACCTTGAGCTCAAACTCTGGGGTTGTGCTGGCATCGAAGGCCAGAACTCGACCCATCAGATTATGGTCTTTCCTGAAACGCACATTAAAGGGGACACAGCTGCTGAGAGCTACAAGCACATCTCGGACTGCTTTGGGACGGTTTGGCCAGCCTTCAACCCTGTTACGAGAAATCTCATTCAGTTCGGACATCACTTCATTGTTCCTCCACACTGCAGGATCTATGCCCACCAGAGTAGAGGTGCTGGCCCCCACACCCAGGGACACAGCCTGCCTTCTGCCAGCATCCCCCATTATGGGGCCAGCTGAAACTGCAATAGGTGTGGCCCCAGCCCTGGAGCCTGATAATGGGGCTAAAAGCCCATGAGGGGCTGCTACCAACCCCTGAGCTATCAAGGCATGGGATATGGTGCCATGAAGACTAGGGACTGCCCCAGCTATAGCCCGACGAGTATTTGGGCTCTGTCGGCTGCCCTCTGACAAGGCCACATCTTCAGCTCTGTGCAGGCCATTGGGGAGGCGAGAAGACACCCCATACTCACCCCTCCCCCTGTCTATGCGCTCCCCATGCTGCCGCCCTGCTTCAATGGGCCCAGACGAGCTGGGTTTGCCCTGCTGTGGACCGGGGGACCTGCCGTCTAAAACTCCGTGCGTGCTCTTCAGTTGCCTGGCAGTTTCAATGAGGAGCTCTATTCGGTCTGCCCCATCGTAGTTGACACATCCCCGGCACACAGCCTCGCTGAACTCCCATAGCATGGCCCAGGGCATCTTGGGCAGATCGCAGAGGTAGCACCATTGCCGTCTAGAGGAAGACTGCGAGGCGGAGGACATGTTGTTTACAGGCCCTCGACCAAACTTTCTTCGGAGGCCTACACGTTACGGTCTACGTTTTTCAACAATTCTTCAGTTCTCCGACACGACTCGACACATGCCGCGGATTTTACGATGGAAATTAAACGAAAACTAAGCTCGAAACGCGACTGTTGACGACAGCATTTAAAAGTTAGCAACGTCTTCTTTCTCGATTTGTTCGTGTCGGTCTGTGTGGAAGGAAGTAAAATGTTATAAGACACCGGAAACACCTACGCGACGGTCTCGACTGAACAAGGGAGTTGT